AGTTAGCTAATCCATTCTAAGCTCTCCCGGGCCGGGGAGGGGGGGGAGGGGGGGGAGCAGGACAGCAACTAATAGAACCCCCCGCTTTACATATGGGAAGTTAAAGCTAGGTCTATATGACACATAGGTATTTTTTGGAGTCCTTGAGATTCCTTTATGGCATATGTGCTAAAGCTTCCTTACTGCAGAAACCAGGAGCAGTGAAGGACAGGCTGGAATTGTTAAGCACTCCTTAACTGGGGAGCTCAGAGTTCAGGCACAGTGTTGGAGTGTAGGAGTATCATCAAAAACTTGCAGAACTAACAGAGCAACAGATCGTAATTTAGAACATAAATGCTCTCAAACCAAGCAAACTCTACATTTTCCTACTTTCTGGCTGAAAAGCAAAGTTTAATTACTGCTATTTTTACAGCAAGTTCCATGAAATTACTCGTTCCTGATCAAATACAGAGCTATAAGAAGGCAAAGAGGTGAATGGCAGCACTCATTGCTTGTCAGCCCCTCAAGGCCCCAAGGGAAAGTGTCCTGCATGCGCATCTTTCCAGAGCATCATATTTACAGAAACAGAAAAAAGATTAGTCCTCCCCCACAGCCGTCTGCAGCTCATGGATACCATAGTCACTATTCTGACATTTTTATTTATTGGAAACGTAAGCTTATCTTACTCCAGTGGTAAAAAACATCTTCTTCTAACTCTCACAGCTTAATCCTCTTTGTGATCTGAGAGATATCTAGGAGAGGAAGAGAAATAAATCCAATACACTCAGTTAATTGCTCAGTGACAGATAATCTTTTCTCCTTCATTTTCTTCCTCTTCTATAAAAAGAATAACAAAAAGTAAATAAAAAGCTCTCAACTAAAACTGTGAAAGAAGTCTGCTGAGAGGATAACAGCATAATTAAAGTCAGACCCAGCCTGATGCAAAATCTCATTTACCGTGTACAGCAGCTCACTTGCCATCCAAAGCCTGGTAAGCACAGAGCCTTAGCACTCTAGAAGATTGTATAGATTCTCCCCGTCTCTTTTCTCTTACTGTATTTCATCCCTTCATGCCTGTCACCAGTGGTCTCAATTCATCGGTAGTTTTAGAAGGGCGATCTCCATCCATTAGTGCTGCAGCCAGCTGTAGTTAAACTGGCTGAAAAATTACAAAGAAATGCCATCCTAGCAGGTAGTAGTGTGTTTATAAAGAAGACAGATTCATATCTTGTAGGCGATGGCATAGTTGTGTTATAGATGGTTACAGTCCCATCAGTCACCTTAAAGTCACCTGCTTAAATCACCCAACTACACCTTCGAATGACAGATGTGCTTATAACCAGCTATAGCATAAATGACTCGTGTCTGTGACATGCTTCTAAACAGCCCCTCATCATTCATCAACCTTTTGAGAATGCACTCTGCACAGGAGGCGAGAATGGTATTTGTTTGTCATGTATTCAAGGCAGAGATTCCTCTTCAGTTGTGGGTACCTGCAGAACTACCTGTCTTTCTCCTCTATCCTTCAGAAACAGAACTCTTGACATCAGAAATCAAACCAGACATGAGATCATGCTTTCTTCCATTCCCCAGCATCAAACCTAGAGGCATGAAATAAATTAAAGTGCAAGATGTTTCTCCCTTTCTCTCAGTTCTATTTTTTTCTATCCTTTTTAAACAAGCAGGGAGATTTAAATTAACATGTCACTTAAGCAGCCAGGAGGAGCAACAGCTAATAACCTCTCCGTCAGATACGTTAAATAATAAGATATGCCCATCTTGTCATTTCTTTCCATTACACTAAGAACAGAGAAGCTGTCCTGGGATCTTCACAGGGATATTTATTAGTGACCTGAAGGCATGCCTGCATGGTGAGCGGGGATCTAACAGCAGAGGCAGACTCAGGACAGAGCACAACGTAACCTCCTGAGGCTAATGTAAGGCAACAGGATCGAGGCACTGGCAGTGCACTGGCAACTTTCAGAGCAGTCATGAGCACTGAAGAGGCAATCAAGAATAATGAAGTACTGCAAAGACAAGTGGGTTGATTTTAGCTATCCTGGTTCTCCTTCAACATTTCCCAGTACAAAGCATTTGCCCAGGGATTCTGGGTGCTTGGCCATGCAACTGTAACCAAGTCCTGACAAGTGACATGTGGCAAGGGAACCTGAAGCTGACGGGTTCAAAGAAAGACAAGTGGTTCCTCAAATAATCTATGGAGCTGCTTGCTCTAAGATGTCACAAGTACTAAAAGTTTTAACACACTCCAAGAGATACTAAGAAAGTTAGCTCATGGGATATTAATCCCCGGGTATATACTAAAACAAAAAAAATTATTCAGACCCTGATAGACCTTAAACTGAAGGTTGAGGAAGGACCCTAAACTTCAACCCTAAGAATGAATGCTAGGAGAATGCTAGGAGGAAGTGTCAGATATGATAATCCTGTTTGTATATTCTTTATTAGACTGCTTTTTGGTAATAGGATACTGGGCTAGAGGAAACAATCAGACTATTACTATATTGTTAATCATGTTCTGACATTACAACTGTCTGAAGTCCACTGCACTCACTGGCTTTAGGACTGCTACATTGCCAAAACCCCAGCTTCTGGTACATCCTCCAGTGAAATCCCCACAGCCCTTTCTCTTTTAATCAGGGTAAAACTTATGCCATTGTGGTATGGTCCACAGAAACCAACTCTGAAACAAACAACAGCATAAGGTCATCAGCACAATTTTGTGCCCACGTTCATACACCTCAACAAGAAGTGTTTTTTCCACTCTGACGTGGCTGTCCTATTTTCAGTCCCAAACCAGTATTTCAACACAATCTTACATTGCATCACGTGAGTAAAGTAGTTCTTCAGCAATGTCAGCAATGGGGAAGGACCATACCTTCTCCATTGACTGATGAAATAGAGATGAGTATTTCTCAGGGTGAAATGTCTGAGGGTAGTAAGAGGAAATAAAAAAATATATTTAATATTTACGAATATTCTTTCTTGAAACCATTGAGAAATGAAACACTCTAGCCCAAACCCCCTTCAGAAAAATATTGCCAAAGCCACGGTCCTGAAAGGCCCTTTACTATGGCGTGCACACCATAGTAAAGACAAAGGCAGTAGAGAAAATAGGATTACTTTTGATCTCAAGCCATAGTGGCAACATATATGAAATGGAAAGACCTGATTATACCCCCACAGCAGGATGAGAAACCGTTTATTCAGCCCCACAAAATACTAATACTTTTGAGTGTTCCTGTTGCTGTTCATAACAAATCCTAGAAGTTTTGTGTTTCTTTAGGTTTTTGGGGTTTTGGTTTGGTTTTTTTTTTGTTTTATTTCTTCAGACCAGTGGGTAGAGCACTAGCCTGAGTTCAGAATATACTCCATATCAAATCCCTCCTCTGTCATTGTCTTAAAACCCTGCTCAATTCCTTGAACAGAAAGGTTATTTGTTCTACTTCTGACCCAAAATTCTTCCTTGGAAATGAAAAACCTTTCCTAAACAAGTTTATCAAAACAAGTTCATCCTAACAAGAAGTTTTAGTTTTAAATACCCAAAGTTTTCTTGTATCAAGATGGTAGCCTGTCCACCTCCATCAATGACCTGCATAAAGAAAACCCTAGACTTCCCACCAAAGTTTCACAGATGGAACCATGACAAAACCTCCCTTTCATTCAGTACAGCTCATGAAAGTACCACTAGGGACACGTGAAGTAAACACCCCTTAGATCCATTTTTCAGAGAGATAAAAACAGGCACCATCTGCTCTCATTAAATCCAAATAAGAGCCTTAAGAAATAGACCATGGCCGAACTCTTTCCTTTGGTTCACAGAGTGCATGATATGCTTTGAAATCATGAAAGTATCAAGGCATTCCCTATAAATCAGTCTAGTAAGTCAGCATCACACAAGTGGAAATCAATTATCTGGTACTAATACTATCAGTTCTGAATAAACAGACATTGAATACTCGCTCACAGGTATTCCCCGAGTTGTAGTAGCACTGACTTTTCATAAGGATCATTTGGGCGGTAGACAGCCATGAGATCCTTCATTATAAACAAGGACTTAAGGCTGTTGAGTTCTCCTAAAAATAAACCAATTGGTTGACTTGATTCTGAATAAGATGGGAAAGGGGAAATCAAATGATAGCACATTCATAAGGTACATTATCTAGCTGAAACAAGACAATCAGACTTCAGGCTCTTTGTCCTTGAGTATGAAAGAACAGAAGTGAGAGAGAGGGTTTAGCTACAAACCTTCCAGCACATTTAAAAAAATCCAATTAAATTCAATAAAAGAATTGTATCAGGCTCTTCCTATTTAAGTAAGGTGGTAATTATTAACTCAATTTATCTCCATACCTCCAAAGAGAGCTCTCTGTGATGCTTCCCAGGTTGTAGTCATACAGCTTTGTCAGAATTAGAATCACCTGAAGGCAAAAGAAGAAATCACGGTTAGTTTCAAACAATTACAATCTCATAGAACTGAAATGACCCCAGGGAGGGCTTAGGATTCCTTTAATGGGTGCTTAACATAATTGAATGAATTGTTAAAAGCATTTGCCTAAACTGACATGGAAAGTATTTGCAGAGATGTATGTTGAGCCAATCAGACCTTTTCTTGCTCAGCTCCTCTGCATGATATCGCCAACAGGTTCTTCCCTTAACCCCAGGAGGCAGCGTGCAGTGGGAAGGAGCTGACGTGCTAGACAATGTTTCAGGATACAAGATGAGATCTGCTGTATGCAGTAGAAATAGTGATTGTTTTCTGCTCTGTTTCACAAGCACTGAAACTGCTGATCTTTTTCACAGCTGTGGTGCACAGATAACCCACTGGCCTGTCTCCAGTCAAACTCTTTTTGGTTCTAGCAGATGATATAACACAAGAAATGATCACCAGTTTTGGCCTGGGAGACTCAGACTGGATATCAGGAAAAAATCTCCATAAGAAAAATAGTTCCACACTGGGACAGGCTACCCCAAACATCTGTAAAGCCTATATGCTTGGAGGTTTTAAAGACCTGGCTGGACAAAGTCATGGCTGACCTGATCTATAACTGGTGATAACCCTGCTTTGAGTAAGAGGTTGAACTAGGGACCTCCAAATATCTCTAACAACCAACATTTCTATGACTTCAGTGAAAAGCTTTAGATTTAGCCAGAATGGAAGTGTTTCCATGTTTAGGAGTTTTATTAGCTCTTTTGATAAACAGCTTTTCCCAGCTGCTAAAACAGATGCTTCTAGAATAAAATTATCTTAACAGGGGGAAGAAAGCAATTTTAGCAAAAAGAATTTCCAGAAAAACATTTCAGCTTGCTCTTTTGTTAATATCTTAAAAAAAAAAAAATATTACTGACTTTCAAGATGATGGGGTCCTTTAACAAGACCCACATTTGGGACATAAACTACCAGACCGTTAATATTGCTACAAATTTATTTTGCTTCTTTCCCTGCCAGGTCACTGTATATCTTATCCTCCTCTCTATCCCATTAAAACTGCAGTAAATTAGAGATACAACACTTCTTATCTGACAAAAATCCTGATCTATATACCTCTACATTACTATTTTCAGCCTGGGTTCCTAAGAAATGAGGCTCACTAATACACATCCCCCTGCTCCCTTGATAACATCACCAACTTCAATCAATTTGGCAGAGCAGCAAAGGACTGGAGGTAATTCAGACCCTATAAGCTCTGCGCAAACTGGCACCAGCATGGCAGACGAATAGCCACGTGGCTGCTTGCACCAGGGGGAGAAGAGCAGACCTCGCTACTGCCACTTCCGAAGGCAAGAGCCGTCCTACCTCTTACACACCAATAGCCCCAAACCAGCCACACCAGGAACTGTCTCCTTCCAATATGCTCAGCAGGTGAAACAAAGCAGAAAGCATGGCGATGCGGGAGCTGAGGACATAAGCGAGCACATAGTTACTGCAATAGAGGAAGGTATAGGGGACAGAACACACACATCTGACAGACATCTGTTTCTACAGCACAACTCTGTTAAACCCCTCATAGCACAGAGAGAGGCTGCCCAAAGCATTTCCTATCTGCATGAACATAAGTCATGTGCAGCTGATAAGGGAGACAGGAGAGGCACCTGAAAAAACAGTGGTTTACCAGGGCCAACCATCACCCAACAATCCTCCAGAAGACAAGCAGCCTCCCTTATTATCTGCTCCCATTTTAATCTCCCACCTCCCACTATGCCCGCTTACTGCTTTACGTCCAAAATGAAAGCCTCATTCTGCTATCCATAAATAACTGGCTGCAAACTCAGGCTATTAAAAAGCAAACCCCATCAGGCAGAAGACAAGGCCGGGGGGAGACACTCCAACTTTGTATCTCAGTGCACCGCACAAACGGCTCCACACAGAAATGAAGACTGTGGAAGAACGTCCCCAGGGAGATGCCTGATGCCCAGGGCTGCCCCCAGCCTGCCCTGCTCCCCGGCTGGGTGTGGGACAGGCCATGGCTGCAAGGCCCTGCCCTGCTGCCCCATGGGGGAGCTGCCAGCCTGCGCTGCCCCTCGCCCTGAGGTACATGTGGGGTACGGTCACAGCAGTGCTGAGGGCGGCCCTGAGGCTCCCGGAGCAGAGACCAAGGGCCTCCCACAAGGCTCCTCCCCAGCACCAGGCCCAGCCTGGCCCTGAACTCCTCCATGACCCCCCAGTCTGTCCCCAGGTCCCAATGTCCTCAGTGGCTCCCTCAGATTTTCCCCCATCAGCCCTGCCCCATGGCCCCGCAGCAGCAAGCCACCCCCAGGCCCCTCCAGGTGCCCTGACCACCAACCCCAGACCCCACCGTGTCCCCCAGCAACACCCACCCTGTGGCAACTGGGGACCAATCCACGGTGACCCCAACCCACTGAGTGGCATGTCCTCCTGAAATAGCCCCACAGTGACTCCTGCCTTGGCCCAGGGCCCAGAGGACAACATGCATCCCCCGCTACGATGGGGGCTGTTCACACAACAGCCATGACCCCTCCTCTGCTCCCCAGGGCACCCTGACATGGATATCCCCTCTGTCCCCCAAAACGCACAACCCCACTGCCATCCGGGAGGTACCTCCCTCCAGCCTGGAGGGTCCCTCTTTGAAGAGGCGGTCAACGTGCAAAGCGCCAGCCGCCTGCCGAGGCGTCAGATGGCAGAGCTGGAGCGTGCACATATGCTTCATGAACCCTTGCACCAATTAGGGCTTTATAACTGCTAAATTTCAATCTCGACCCTCCCAGGAATGCTTATCGGTGACAGCAGCTGTCTGCTCCAGATACAGAACCGTGCCGCTGCCATACCTCACAGCACCCTCTGAATGGGTCTATAAATCCCCTACTTAACAAATAAATAAAAATTAAGGGGGGGGGGATAAAAAGGAAGAGGAAGGGGTGTGCACATAAAGCCTTTCTGAATAACTACTCTCCCGATGAAAGGTAGCAGTGAACTCAATGAGATTCAGCACCAGCCTGCATGGAGACCTTCTATACGACATGGGAGTTGCACGCACCCTCGGCTTCAAGCCTCCCTTGAATCTGCAAAGCAGCTGGACAGTTGCTTATGTCTTTTTCCAAGCCTTGTTGTCTCCTCTTGGCCCGCTCCTCCTCTGCTTGCCAGAGGAACCAGAGATGTAAATGACTCTAATGAATATTCCCCTAATGAATATTTTGACATCTGGTAGTTTTAGAAGCAGACCTGAAGATAACACACATAGAAACTCAGAACAGCAAATAGGAAAAATAGTGGGGTTTTCTCCCCATTTTTTGCCACTGGTTGATGTAATCTTGAGGAAGATCCTACAAGAATCAAGAAACACCTTCCCCATCTGTAAAACCCAAGAATTATAAATCAGGCTAATTTTTGTGGAATACTAAGATTAGCAGTGTGTAATTACTGCTGTTAAATAGACTGAGAATAATTTTTCACAAATTACTCAGATTTTTACTTTTTTCAACTGAGAAAAATTCACAAATCTCAAAACTTCCATGAAAGAAAACTCCATTGAGAATTCTAATCTCCTCACTTGAGAAAAAAAAATTGTAACTGACATCCCAAAAAGAATATGAAATGACAAAAAAATTAAAAGTGCCAATATGAGAAATCAAAATATTTTACTTCCAGAGCTGAAACGTGTCTTTTGTTCTTTTTTCTTCCCCCAGAAATTTCAGTAAAACCCACACAATCTTAGAGTGCTGTAGTTCTCTTGGAATTGATGGGGGACAAAAACCCAGCTGCATTCCATCATACTTCTTTTTGTTATAGCTCTAATAATCCTTCTGCAGAGGCATTCCTGGACCCATCCAAATATGCACGTTAGTTGCAGACTAGCTACATCTAGAACCGCAACCATGGACTTCCGGAGGACGGACTTTGGCCTGTTCAGGATGCTGGTTGAGAGGGTCCCTTGGGAGACGGTCCTGAAGGGCAAAGGGGTCCAGGAAGGCTGGACGATCTTCAAGAAGGAAGTCTAAAGGCGCAGGAGCAGGCTGTCCCTGTACGCCGTAAGAAGAATGGGCGGGGAAGACGACCGGCCTGGCTGAATGGGGAGCTCTTGCTGGGACTCAGGAAAAAAAGGAGAGTTTACCGCTTGTGGAAGAAGGGGCAGGCGACTCTAGAAGAGTACAGGGATCTCGTTAGGTCATGCAGAGAAGAAATGAGAAAGGCAAAAGCCCAGCTAGAACGCAATCTGGCCGCTGTCGTTAAAGACAACAAAAAAAGTTTTTACAAATATATTAATGACAAAAAGAGAGCCAAGGAGAATCTCCATCCCTTACTGGATGCGGGGGGGAACATTGTCACCGAGGATGAGGAAAAGGCTGAGGTACTCAATGCCTTCTTTGCCTCAGTCTTTAACAGGCAGACCAGTTATCCTCAGGGTACTCGGCCCCCTGAGCTGGAAGACAGGGACGGCGAGCAGGATGAACCCCCCATAATCCAAGAGGAAGCAGTCAATGACCTGCTATGCCACCTGGACACTCACAAGTCTATGGGGCCGGATGGGATACACCCGAGAGTGCTGAGGGAGCTAGTGGAGGAGCTTGCCAAGCCACTCTCCATCATTTATCAGCAGTCCTGGTTAACGAGGGAGGTCCCGGACGACTGGAGGCTTGCCAATGTGACGCCCATCCACAAGAAGGGCCGGAAGGAGGATCCAGGGAACTACAGGCCTGTCAGCCTGACCCTGGTGCCGGGGAAGATTATGGAGCGTTTCATCTTGAGGGCACTCACAAGGCATGTGTGGGACAACCAGGGGATCAGGC